CACTCCAAATTTCCAAGATCTCCTACACAGTAAGAAGAGATGATCAAATTGACTCTAACTCATTCCGACAAATATAACAGAGCCCATAACAGGATTCATCTAGAGCATTCACTTTAACCAAAAAACAACAATTCTAAAGGGGGCAATGCTTTCCCATATAAACACTATTGTAGGAATAATACAACCTCCAGATGAGGCAAATTAATTGATCCACTAATTGGCATTAAGCTGATCAATCTGTGGCAGAATTTGCAATAACCTATGATGGCCTTTCTCCTCCTCCTCCTCCCATACTGACAAAGTCTTCCTATGTGGGATACACATAATGATGAAATCATTAACGAGCCCATCTTTGTTACATTAGACACCCATTTATCAAACAAAAAGAGAAATCTCATTCCATTTCCCAAATTTCAGTAGCACATTAATGGGGACATGTTCAGAAGAAGAAGAAAAAAAAAACTGCATTATCCTTTAAGCAATGAAATATCCCATCTCTTGTTGTCCCAATTATACTTTTCAAAAATCACTCTTTTCCGAAAGGAGATTTGGCTCAGATGCAAACCTCCACCACTACTTAATCAACAAAGCTTCATTCTTAATTTTTAGATTAGAACTACCCACAACCATAAATCTATGTAATGAATCTTTCATCATATGAGATTATGCTCACTGTAATTATAGTCACAGGGTTAATATTCAATGTTTCTTGGATTGATTTGTTTTGACAAAAAGACTCGCATTAAACTTATAGTAGGTAGGGCTGAGGAGGTTGTTGAAAGATTATAAAATATTCTCTACTTTCCTTTGCCATTTCAGGCATAAAATTACTAATTTATGCAGTAACTTTGTTCATATGATTGAGTTTAGAAGGTGAAATCTTTTCAACCGTCTCTTTTAGAAAAAAGATTCTCTAGGTGGACATCACCTCAGCAAAACTTGTGAGTCTTAGATACTTCAATCTTTAGTTTGCCCCTTTACTCACTTTCTCTCTCTCTCTCTCTCGGAAAAACTCAGTTGAATAACCTAAAAAGGACATCTAGCAATCATTGCTACAAAATGTGAAAAAATATTGAGTGTAACTGAAGCCAAACAATACGAATCAAATTTCAACACTCAGATTATTTGATGAACAAAACTTCATTTTTTTGGGGAATGTAAACCAAAGATCAAAAGTAAATCAATAGTACAAGGAGCATACATGGGCAATACAAACAAGGATGGGAATCGTCTAAAGCAAGCAAAAGATGAGGACAATACCATTTAGCCAATCTAGGCCTTGTTTACATATGATATGAAGATATGTACAATATATACCACATACAGACCGTGAGAAGATAGCAATAGCTGCACAGAAAGGCTAGAAAGCCAAAGAAGCAACAAAAGTAGCACCAGCATAAAACCAGTCAATTTACCAATGAGCTTTTATTTATGACACGTACAAAAGCAACAACAAAAATTACAGTGTGATAAAAGAAGCAACCGGGTTTACCAAAAAAATAAACAAAACAAAAAAAAAAAAACAACACGACCAGAAGCAAGAAAACAACAACAATACAGAATCATCAAGCCACTGCATATCTAGATTCATCAAACCTTCTTTAGGTCTTCAACAAGATGCAACATTTTTTTAAATTAGATGCAACATTTACTTCACCGAACGCAGCAGAAAATGATTGAAAGAGTTGACACCATCCTTCGGTAGCTCTTTTGGTTTCCCATGAATAGCGGTAGCTGGGGCAAAGCAGATAAATGAATGTATCGAACCTGGAAATGAAAACAATAACAACAATGACAAATAAACATTTGACAAGCATCTACCAAAACTTAAACCACATGAAACCTAAATAATGTTTAGTTGGCATAGATGACATTTACACCTTGAACAACTTTTACTAAAATCTGAAAGCACCACAGGGACAATAGTAATAATAATAAATAATAATAAAATAAAAGAGTGGTTAGCAACAAACTTATGGTGAATGATGATAGCACTAAAATAAATAGTCTATGAATCTTTGATGGGAAGAAAAAAGCATTTCATTATAAAACTACTATTTGCATAAGCTACAAGTAATGCAGAAATGAGAGCAAGACTAACCATATACCAAAAGAAGTTATTATATGTCACTAAAAGATATAGAGATACACAATGCCTAAGCATGATGATATCAAATATGAACAATGGAGTCGGTGTAAGCAACTAAGCATATAGCCATATCCATAACCTATGGTAAAATTTGAAGTTTCTTCGATAATCATGAGAAGACACAATCTCTATAAAATGAAATACAAGCAAAACGTCAAGTAGAACCATGTCACATGCTTTGGTGTTTTCAATTTTTTCAAAAAAAAGCTTACAATTTTCATCATTTGTTGGGCCATAAAGATGAGTCTTCAATTACATAGTACATAAGTTAAATGGAATTAATAACCAGCTTAAAATTCTTGAAAATTTGATAAATAAATGTGAACAATGGCCAAAATCATTGCATTACATTGATATATACCTGCTACCATTGCCTCTCTCTCTCTCTCTCTCTCTCTCTCTCTCTCAACAAAAAAGAAAACATAAACTGAGAAAAATCTTGACATTGGTTAAAAAGCAGTACATATATGGTAGTAGCAATTAATGGCAGGAATAAGAAGAACGTTCAGGATATTTAATGGATCAACCGGCTCATTTACTTCATGTGAAGAATTGTTATTAATGAAAGCCGTATAAAGGAGGTGCGTGGTAGGACTATAGAAAATAAACATTGGTATAAAAGCAAACAAACACTTTGTACAACCAACACGATGAAACAATATTTGTGCAATCTATACTTCGATTCTTTTTTTCATTTAAAAAAAAAAATTGTTTTAGTTGTACATGCATAACCACAAGTATGCCCAATATAGTGGCATGTGTGTGATGCAAGCAGAAGGTGTTGCACTTCACATATTCCAATGTTGATTTAAAAGTAGAGTTTGAAGCAGAATCCATTTTAAAAGCTACACCTACAAAAGAGAACTTGCTCAACTACTTTTAGACTTCAATGAACAAAATGAAAATCATGTCACAAACCATCATGTCACAAGGTATTATTTGATAGGTCTATCTAATAAATGAGGTCAGGAATTTAAAAACTTGACAAACCTCACCCATGTTCTACTTCATCAGTTCAAAATCATAGGTGGAGATACAATTTTACACAAATAAAAGAAAGAAAGAAAGAATATTTGAGATATAGAGTCAGATTTGATAATGCTTACATTGAGCTTTGGAAGAGCAAAGAGCGGAAAGAAAAAAATAGAACTTCAAAATTAAAGAACCCTTCAACCACACTATCATCCATAGAAGCAGAAAAATTGCTGAAAATTGAAAAGTAATTAGGTTAGTGACTGCCACAAAATGGAGATCAAACAACATATGTAGACGAAGCAAAAAGACATCAATTATTCATGGTGAAAATACATAAATTCTAGGTAAGTAATCGATGCTCCGATCCAAAAATTAAAAAAGAAAAAGAAAGATATGGTTGATTATTATGATTTGGCATGTGATCCTGATTATGTCTGGGGTGTTAAAGTGAGAAAACAAATTACCATTCTACAATATGATTTTTATTTTTATTTTTTATTAGAAAACAAAAAGAGTTTACAGATAATAATGTGAATCATTACAATCAATAAATAAACAAGGGGAAGGGATAATTAGAAAGAGATTGCCTAGCAAACTAATATATACATATATTAATATATAAAAGAAATTAATTTGGCCTATTCATCTTCAACCTTCATCAAGTTAGTGTTAGATAATGTCTCAATGGGACCACATAATTAAATGTGGTGTTATCATTTATAAAAAGCCTACAATTTAAGTGATTCAATTTAGTTAATAGGCTTAAGGGTATATGTGTTATGGACCTAATGTGTAGATACTAGTTGTATAATTTCTATTTCTATGAGGGGCAGAAATAGAAATTAAAACATATTGGTTAAAGTTGGTTTTCATTACCTTTCAGTTTTAAAACCAATAATGGTTAATTTATTGGTTTTCATTACCTTTCAGTTTTAAAACCAATAATGGTTAATTTATTGGTTTTCATTATCTTTCAGTTATGAAAACCAATTACAACCTTTAAAAGGTTATGGTCCCTATTCCTTCCTAAGGTGAAAAGAAAAAATAAGAACACTGTTTGTTTTTCTAAATCCTCTCAAGGAGAAACATAAGGCACTAAAGTGAAAGGATTAGAAGGCTTTAACAAAGTCAATATCAAAGGTTTTATTGACAATCAGACGCTTCCGTTTAACCGTTCATCGATGGATTCGGGTAAGTTTTAGTCTTGTTTTCTTGATGATATACATGGTAGATGATCCGAAACATGAAGTTTCATGTTCTGAAATTTATGTTTACAATACATGGTAAATGATCCGAAACATGAAGTTTCATGTTCTGAAATTTATGTTTACAATACATGGTAGATGATCCGAAACATGAAGTTTCATGTTCTGAAATTTATGCCATAAGTATTTAGACCATTACAAATTAACACTAAAAACTAGCAAACAAAAGTAATAAAAGAAGATACTATGCAAGTTTAGGCTTGGATTTAAGTTTTATATGAAATAAGAGAAGATAGTATACAGAAGGGTGTATAATAAAAATATAGACTATTTGTATACGGTCCGGATTGGTTCTAATCCGGAACCGTGAGGTTCAATCCGAAACCAATCCGTGAACTACGGATTTTTAATTTTTCAATCCAGAACCGAACCACGAATTCAAAAAACCAATCCAAACCTACTGGATTGGACTGGATTGGATCAGATTACGAATTTCACAGATCCCTTACTCTGCCCTAAACCTCTCCATATATATATATATTATATAAGTAATGCACAGGCTCTGTTGTGATGCGATGAGGAGGTTGCGACACTGTTAGCATTGATAAAAATCATAAAATAATAATTTTGATATATTTGGTTTTGGTGATTTTTGAGGAGTGAGTACCTGGTAGTTTTGATTGCTCACATTGCAGTTTATTCCTCTACCTCCTCTACTTCAAAGATGAATCTGCCTTCTATGAAGACTGCAGGAATGGGAGCTGTGAGGGGCCAATATTGGCCTTTCCCCTTTTCACACAGCCGTTTCATTATTGGACATTCACGGATTTCAAGTCTCAAAAGCGATGGAGGCAGGCCTCCTTGCTCGGGAAAAGATGCAAGCCTAGGGCAATCTATGAAATAAAGATGGGTGAGGTTTTGAATGGTCTCCATAGAAGAAGATATCTTCTCCAGATTTGGGAAATTCGAAATCAACAGACGCCTCAAAGAGGTGGGCAGCAACATCCCATCTACTGGAAAACTGGGCACCGAATAACATTTTTCTTCTTCTTCTGATACGTTACTTGGGCCTGCAAGCCAGAGTGTTATAAGAGAGGAGAATCTGTGCAAACCCCACTTTGATAGGCGCTTACTAATCTTCATATTCGCGATTTTAAGAAAAGTGAGGTTGGTGAGGAAATTCCCTTTCTCTAGAATGTAGGAGGAGACGATTCCTCCTCTTGCAGGCCAACTTTCTATCCCCAGAGCGAGGGGGCTGTTGTTGTTGCGTAAACTAGGGTTTGGCAAGAGGACCAATTCTAGTTTTTCGCATTTTCTAATCATCGATCTTGTCAGTTTTGTTGCGGGGTGGTGGACCCATTCTTCTGGAAGGGACTCCAGATTATCACACTCTTCTATCCCCAAGAACTCCATATTAGAATCGTGCGCTGTCCACCTAGGCAAGGATCGCAGAGCCTTACATGTCCAAATCCGAAGTTCTCTTAGGCTAGGCGGAAAGCCTGTCTCTGAAAAAGATACCAGACTTGGACACTCACAGATATCCATCTCTCGAAGAGAAGTGAAGGTATGTAGCCCCCGTGGCAGTTTCTCCAACTTTTCACAATTCCATATATGTAGATACTCAAGTCTCACCATGGAAGGCACTCCCTCTTGTTGATGTTGCCCTACTTCCTCGTCTTCTTTAAACAATGAAACAAGTTGCGGATAATCCTCAATTATCAAACTTTGCAAGGCAAGGAGACTGTGCTGTAGTCCTGCCTCATTCTGCCACAATGTTGTGAGTTCTTTACAACTAGAAATTTGCAATTCTTTGAGCCCTTTAAGCCCCTGGGTAAGCCATTTTGGCAATAATGCAAGTTTCTGAATCATCCTTATGCTCAAGGAAGTTACTGAACTCAGATGCTTAGACATTGCATTTGCCAACATCACTTCATCATCTATGCTTGGATTGCACAGGGACTTCGAGGATTGAAACATTTCTAATATTCAAGCAAGTAAGGGAATTGGGTTCAATCACGTTACATGTCTCAAGAAGCACTGGAAGGCTTGGAAGCCGAACATCACTCATGGACAGGAGGGTGAGTGACGGGAGAACAAGGCTAGAAGCTTCAACCAGCAGCTGCAGGCAATTTATAATCTCAAGAGTTTTGAGGCAAGGAAGATTACTCGGCAACATTCCCACAAGTTTAGGACATTTTTCGATGGAGAGCTTACTAACACGAGTGAAGGTTTGAACTTCTTTGTCAATTCCAAAAATGTGCCAAGCCTCCCATTCCGACATATTCTCAAAACATAGTGTCTCAAGTAATGGAAAAGGTTTGGCGCAATACTGCCCATAGAACTCACAACCCACATGCTTTATGGCACTCATTCCTTCAATGTAAAGGTCTTTCAAAGAGGGTAGTTGTCCAAGTGGCAGTAAGGAAGTGCAATTTTTACAATTTTGTAACTTCATGCACACCATATTGGAGAACAAAGGATCTCCTGTCCAAATTGGAAATCTCATACCATGGTAGCCTCTGATGTATAGCTCTTTCAGCTTCTTGTGAGGTTGTTAGCACATCTATACCTTGCTTGTCGTTTAAACACACCCCTCTTGCATCCAAAGGATCAACCACGTTTTCTATACCGATATGCAAAGTGTCCCTTCAAGATGAATCAAGGTCCCCAACTCACTTATCCGAAACCCATTGTCTTTCATAACAATAAAATTGGATAGTGTTTGGAGACTTGTCAACTTACCAATTCCTCATGGCATTTCTTCTAAGGAATTTGAATCAATCATATCGAGATGACGTAAGTTGATTAGGTTTCCCATGTCCGCAGGCAATTTTCTCAGTTCTGGACAACCTCATAGCATCAAAGTTTGTAGATTGTATAGGGTACCTAATGATTCAGGTACTATTCTAATTCTGGTGTAGGAAAAGTTAAGATATCGCAAATGTTTCAAATCTCCAATTGATTTTGGAATAAGTTCGCCAATGTGATATCTATTTAAACTCGACACCCTTAAGCGTTTTATCTTTGGCAACAAATTAAGGGAAACATTGCTCATCAAATAACAAGATTCATCTTTATCTAAGGACAAGGGTAAGAAGGTCCTTACATTCTCGGCTTCGTAAAAAGTTTCAAACTTTTTGATTACATCAAATGCGCTTTGCATGTAAGATGAATGTCGAGCACTCTTCAATTTTCTACATTGCTCCTGATCCTTCAATTTATCCTCCAATCTAAAACAAGTATAACCTGCAACTGACTGAGCCAAATCATTGATGAGGTCATGCATCACAAATTTCGAGCTTTCACCACCACTTGATGGTTGGAAAAAAGACCTGGACTACAATTCATGAAAATATTCAACTCCTAAATCTTCCATTCGCTTCTTTCCATTTTGTTCCTGAAGAAGGCCTTCTGCCATCCACAAGAAGACTAACTCCTCCTCCTCAAATTCATAGTCCTTTGGCAGTATAGAACAATATGCAAAGCACCGCTTCAAATGCGAAGGGAGATGATGGTAGCTTAATCTCAAAGCTGGGGGGATTTCATTGCCTTGTTCTGTTAAATCCCATATTTTACTATTCAATACAATTTCCCACTCATATGTAGCCCCCGTGGCAGTTTCTCCAGCTTTTCACATTCACGTATAGATAGATACTCAAGTTGATGTTGCCCTTCGTTTTCTACATCCTCGTCTTCTTCAAACAAAGAAACAAGTTGCGGACAAAAACGAATTTCCAAACGTTGCAAGGCAAGGAGACTGTGTTGTAGTCCCGCCTCATTCTGCCACAGTGTTGTGAGTTCTTTACACCAATCAATCTTCAATTCTTTGAGTCCTTCAAGCCCCTGGGTAAGCCATTTTGGCAATAATGCAAGTTTTTGAATCTTCCCAATGCTCAAGGAAGTTACTGAACTCAGATGCTTAGACATTGCATTTGCCAACATCACTTCATCATCTATGCTTGGATTGCACAGGGACTCAGGGATTGAAACATTACTAATATTCAAGAGAGTAAGGGAACTGGGTTCAAGCACGTTACATGTCTCAAGGAGCACTGGAAGGCTTGGAAGCCGAACATCACTCATGGACAGGGAGGTGAGTGACGGGAGAACAAGGCTGGAAGCTTCAACCAACAACTGCGGGCAATTTATAATCTCAAGAGTTTTTCTGTGAGATCCTCCAGCCACATTTTCACGGTTTTATTTTCTATTTGTTTCTCCTCCGCATCATCCAAGAATGCCTGAATTTCAGTTAATTCTCCACTCCATCTCTTGAAGAGAGTATAAACTTGCTCCCGAAGAGCAAAGTTCAGTAGGTCAATTGAGGCCAACTTCTCAAACAACACCTCAATAAAAGCAACAAGAATGATTTCACCTATAGGCATTGTTTCCCTATGGAAACAAGCAAGAAACAATATTATATCAGATTTAGAAAAAGATACAAACAAACCAAGAAAAGCATGAGAGTAAAAGTCTGATTGGTTTTAGAATGAATTCACAATTGAAGGTAACAAAATGGAGAGTCATTATTGCAGCTACTTTTAGGTGTTTACATATTGGCATTTATTCTATCTTATCAAAACCAATGGCTCAAGTTTTTTTAGCAAATATTCCACAGGCCCAAGAAAAAAATTATTGGAAAAAAAAAATGTCCTACATAATCTGCAAACAAAGTTTCATATAAAATATCATATAAGAATGTGTAATTATTTAGTAGTTCCTTATGGTACTGTTCACGTCGTGCTCTCAACCATTATGAGTGAGACCATACTAACACACCTTTATTAGCTACTTGATAAATAAAGAATGACCCGCCTAATGTATTTTGTGATTTCACATTTGTTAGGAGCACCATATAGACATTATCACATGGTACTTTGAGACTATCTAATGAATATATATATTAATAAAGATGATGTATCAATAGTATTCTTAAAAAATACAAATCATTTTAATAAAATTTTATTTTTTAAAATAATAGGGAATGTAGCTCTTCGGACTCCTTGGTATAATAGAATTATTTTTGACTCTTTGATTAACATAGTTGAGAACCTTCTTGATCGATATTTGACCCTTGGTTGAGGCGTTACCATAATGGTTGGGTAAGATTTGACCAAAAACTCCAAATTTGAATAATTATTTCCAAGTAGTCTTCACACTTTTGTTGTTTTTTTCCTTCCATACCTTGAATCTTGATGTGATGCTAGAACCATTGAAAAGCTTATTTTCGGGGTTTTGATTTAGAAAATGGAGTATGGACGAGAAAGTTATGCCCATTCGAAATTTGTGTACCTAAGTTATGGGCATAGTTTGCTCGAGTGCAAGTTTGACCGTTCGAGTGATCCGTAGACCCTTCTATCTCTATTTTTTAAAATTGTTTGAGATACTAAAAGCATCAATTCACCACTCAAGCGCACTTTTGACCGCTCGAGCGATCTATTTGAGAAAGTAGAGATACTGAGAGCTTTCATTTACCGCTTGAGTGCAATTTTGATCGCTTGAGCGGTCTGTTCGAATTCAGCGCGTTTTAGCTAATATTTTAGTCAGATTTGTGGGTCTAAACCCACTTCTATACTTGTACTATATATAGACCCATCTCTCCTTTTCTCTCATAACTCTTTGACCTCTCTCTCTCTCTTTAAAATCTCTTTATTCTCTGTTTTCTCTAATTCTCCCAAAACTCACAAATCCTCTAATCTATCAAAATACATAGAGTATTTGATACTAGTTCTTTGGACCAAATCGGCAAGCACCATGAGGGCTATATCTTGACAGGCTGAATCAAAGATCTAGCGCTGTGGATATTTAGGAGTTTTCTTCTCTCTCTTTTCCAAAAACTTAAGGTAGGGATTTCTTTATTTCTTTTCAGTACCTTTCTATAGATAGATGTGTGCTATCTTTTATTGCATAAAATCATGATTTTTAAAAGAGATTTTTGAAAGGCATGTTTTGAAAAATGTTGGAGTTTTGAGCTAATGAAATTAAATCATGTCATAGTGTTGATTATAAAAGATTTAAGTTAATGAAACATATTGGTTATGATTAAAGTGAAAAGCCCTAAATTTTAATTGATGTTATGAGATATTAGAAGAGTTGGTGTTTTTATTGATTTTATAATTATTGAGGTCATATTAATTATTGTGAAGTTAAATTGTGATATGGGAAAAGAAAGAAGTAAATGGTTGCTGTTCATTTAGTTTATGTGTTAATTATTGATGATCTGGAAATGTGGAAACATCATGAGAAGCACATTGTGCCGTTATGAATAATTATATCTTTCATTAGGTAGAGGTTTTATCATTGGCTATCGGTGAAGGGTAGTATTGATTATTGTAGAATGGGTTATATGTATTATATGATGTTGATTTTAAGTTCATAACTTAGAATGATGTGGTAACATGATGAGTTGATAGATGAAAGTGTTATATAGAGGGTCCGTTTCCTTCTGGCTAGCACTTGGTAAAGCTTGGCACTTTGACATAGATACCGATTTCCTTCCGGTTCGCGCCCGATAAATCGTGTGATATTGAATGATACGAAGGATCCGTTTCCTTTTGGCTTGTGACAAGTAAAACGTGGCGCATTGACAGAAGTTTCGCTTTCCTTCCAGTTGCGCTCGGTAAAGCTTGTGGATTATTGGGCTATATGAACGTTCCACTTTCCTTTTAGTTAGCCTTTGGTAAAACATAGCACTTTGAGATAAGCTCTAATTTTCTTCTGGCTAGCTCCCGATAAACTGTGTTGGAATGACTTGACGAAACTGGTTGTGAAACGTGAGTTTGTTTTTGCATTCTTGGCTCGAGCGAGCTTTTCTTCGCTCGAGCGAGGGTTTTGTGTGTCTGGTCGCTAAAGCGACAAAGTGTTCGCTCGAGCGAGCCTCTCGGGTTTATATACGCAGCAGCGGTTTTTAAAACGTTTTTTCACATTCTTTTGATCCTAAAACCCTAGTTCCGAGTTCTCTCTGCCTCTAACCACCTTCTCTCTTAGGTTTCATCACCTTATAGGGTGTTTCTACCCTAGTTGCTTCATTAAAAAGATAGAGTGAGTCGAGAGCTTCGTTTTAATCTGAAAGTTTGTTGTTTTGGAGCACTTGGGTTTTTGGGTCATCATCTCCGTCTTCTCCATTCGGGTTATCTTCTTCGAGGTAGGGATTTCCTACTCCATTTTATAAGTTTTGTTCTAAGTTTTGGTATATTGATATGTTGGGGTTACTTTGATAATTTTGGGAAAAACCCTAGTTGTATTAATTAAATTAATTTGTATAATTAATTTAAGGGAATTGGGGAATTTGGTTAAATTCATGAAATTGAGGAATTCACTGATTAAATGGTGTAGTTGGATAATTTAGATCACTCGCCTATTGAATTGTTGATATATTTATTTCCAAGTCTAGAAATAACTGTTTTGGGCTATCGGTGGAGGATAGTCATAATTGTTGTAGACACTACATGTGGATTAGGGATAACTGAAACTAATCATTGATTAAGTCATCAACTTTGACTGTTGAATTAATACAGACATTATGTGTATTGATTGTGTGTTGTAAATGTTATGTGTTTACATACATTGTTTTGTTGTGTGGGAGGAGATAGGGGATGTACTCCATGGTTTAGGGGAAGATAGGGGATGGACCTCTAAACCGGATTTTGTTTGGGAGGAGATAGGGGATGGACTCCATTAGCATCACTTTTATGTGTGCTTATTTATATTGAAGTGTTTTTATTGATACAGTACTAAAATGTGTATCAAACGGGAAGTATGAAGTGTTTTGATTTGAGCCTGAGTCTCATTTGTTTGTTGACATTGGAAGAATGTGAATATGATTTATATAGTTCACTGTTGTAAGTGTGGCCAGGTTCTGAGCCATATTCATAATGTTGGAAAGTGAAACGTGTCTTAGACATTAGCGTCATGAGACTATATAATGATGTAATTGATTATCTTGGTTAACCATCTATTAAATGCTATTGCTTTATTCAATGCTTATATTTGGTTTAGTATATTTCTACTGGGCTGTGGCTCACCCTATATGAGAACATCATTTTCAGGGTCAGGTGATAAGCTACCTCCAAGGACTTAGCTTGGAAGGACTTGGATTCTGAAGACTATTTTCAGTTATTTGTTTTTATTTGTTAGTACATGTAAACACTCAAGCGTAGGGCTTTATTTGTATTTGAGTTAGAACTCATGCTTGTGTGTCCAAGTGTTGGCTTGGAAAGATGTAAGCCTGTAGGGCATTTAATTTGATGTTACATGTAATACTTTTACTTAGTAAGACTCTGATGAATGTTATAATGAATTGTTTCCTTTTTAACATTGCATGTTGATGTTATATATATTTAATGGGTTTATTTTTTAGGGCGTCACAATGTGGTAACATGATGAGTTGATAGATGAAAGTGTTACATAGAGGGTCCGTTTCCTTCTGGCTAGCACTTGGTAAAGCTTGGCACTTTGACATAGATACCGATTTCCTTCCGGTTCGCGCCTGGTAAATCGTGTGATATTGAATGATACGAAGGATCCGTTTCCTTTTGGCTTGTGACAAGTAAAACGTGGCGCATTGACAAAAGTTTCGCTTTCCTTCCAGTTGCGCTCGGTAAAGCTTGTGGATTATTGGGCTATATGAAGGTTCCACTTTCCTTTTAGTTAGCCTTTGGTAAAACATAGCACTTTGAGATAAGCTCTAATTTTCTTCTGGCTAGCTCCCGATAAACTGTGTTGGAATGACTTGACGAAACTGGTTGTGAAACGTGAGTTTGTTTGTTGTTTACTTGCGTGATTGCGTAGAAATGTGTGAACACAGGGGAATTGTGTTAGAGGGTCAAAATGTGTTGTTGGAATAGTGTTATAATGAGTTGGATCTTAATCATTTGTTAACATGATAGATGTCGGTGTATATGTTTGGTGTTGTATGGATTTTAGTGAGTCGGCATTCGATAATACGACCATCGTTTTTGGTTAACAGTAGAATGTGTGACAACGGTTAGAATGTGTGTATAATTGATTCAGTGTAGAATTCTTTTTGAAAGTGAATAATTTTTTTTAATCACTAATGACGAGGTGAAAAGATAAGAAATGAGTTTTTCTCGAAATGTCAAAGTGGGACTCTTGGGAAAAAAATATGTTTATGTATGTTTATT